GCAAACATATTTAGCGTAACATAGTACGCCTCGGCAACAACAATAGAGAAACATGCGCATCTAAGGAAATTATTTTTTTATTAAAAACTTTTACTTGAGGAACTTTTAATCTAACGAATAAATAATAACATTTGTAAACCACGCCCAGATTTAGTTGAACTATATTCAACTATGTCAATTTTAAATTAAATTTCGAATCAAATTTCCCTCTTCAAACATATTCCAAAGAAGAAGAAATCATCAATAAAAATATTACAGATTAGGACAAACATACAAGTACGTACAGGCTAACAATATTATTTCAGTCGTTATCCCTGGTGGGGTAGTCTTGGCACCAAATCCCACCAGGAGTTCATGGACATTTGATTTGTATTTATTCCATGAAAAGTGATTGGATATAGCTCCGCATGATTCGAAAACAGACAAACATATTCAGCGCAACATGGTAGGCATAGGCAACAATAATAGACAAACATGAAATTATTTTATTATTAAAAACCATTACTTCAGGAACATTTAATCTAACGAATATGTAATACCATTTGTAAACCGCGTGGAGATTTAGGTAGACTACTTTCAGCTATGTTAATTTTAAATTAAAATTCGAATCAAATTTCCCTCATCAAACATATCCAAAAGAAGAAGAAATCAATAATAAAAATATTACAGATAAGGACAAGCATACAAATATGTACAGGTTAGCAATATTATTGCAGTCGTTACCCCTGGTGGGGTCGTCTTGGGACCAAATCCCACCAGAACTTCATTTAATTTGTATTTATTCCATGAAAAGTGAGTAGATATAGCTTCGTATGATTCGAAAACAGGCAAACATATTTGGTGTAACATGGAAGGCATAGGCAACAATAATAGACAAACATGCCCATCTAAGGAAATTATTTTGTTTTTAAAAACCATTATTTGAGGAACATTTAATCTATGGAAAAAATAATACCATTAGTAAGCCGCGTAGAGATTTAGGTAGACTACATTCAGCTTTGTTAATTTTAAATTAAATTTGGAATCAAATTTCCCTCATCAAACATATTCCAAAGAAGAAGAAATCAACAATAAAAAATTACAGATTAGGACAAGCATACAAATACGTACAGGTTAGCAATATTATTGCAGTCGTTACCCCTGGTGGGGTCGTCTTGGGACCAAATCCCACCAGAACTTCATTTGATTTGTATTTATTCCATGAAAAGTGAGTAGATATAGCTTCGTATGATTGAAAACGTGCAAACATATTTGGTGTAACATGGTAGGCATAGGCAACAATAATAGACAAACATGGCCATCTAAGGAAATTATTTTTTATTGAAAACCATTACTTGAGCAACATTTAATCTAACGAACAAATAATACCATTTGTAAACCGCGTGGAGATTTAGGTAGACTACATTCAGCTATGTTAATTTTAAATTAAATTTCGAATCAAATTTCCCTCATCAAACATATTCGAAAGAAGAAGAAATCAACAACAAAAATTTTAGAGATTAGGACAAGCATACAAATACGTCCAGGCTAACAATATTATATCAGTCGTTATCCCTGGTGGGGTCGCATTGGCACCAAATCCCATCAGGAGTTCATGGACATTTGATTTGTATTTATTCCATGAAAAGTGAGTCGACATAGCTCAGTATGATTCGAAAACCGGGACACATATTTAGCGTAACATGGTAGGCATAGGCAACAATAATAGACAAACATGCCCATCAAAGGAAAATATGTTGTTATTAAAAACCATTACTTCAGGAACATTTAATCTAACTAATATGTAATATATTTGTAAACGTCGTTGAGATTTAGGTAGACCACATTCAGCTTTGTTAATGTTAAATTAAATTTCGAATCAAATTTCCCTCATCAAACATATTCGAAAGAAGAAGAAATCAACAACAAAAATTTTAGAGATTAGGACAAGCATACAAATACGTCCAGGCTAACAATATTATTTCAGTCGTTATCCCTGGTGGGGTCGTCTTGGCACCAAATCCCACCAGGATGTCATGGACATTTGATTTGTATTTATTCCATGAAAAGTGAGTAGATATAGCTCCGTATGATTCGAAAACAGGCAAACATATTTAGCGTAACATGGTAGGCATAGGAAACAATAATAGACAAACATGACCAACTAAGGAAATTATTTTTTATTAAAAACCATTACTTGAGAAACATTTAATCTAACGAATAAATAATACCATTTATAAACCGCGTGGAGATTTTGGTAGACTACATTCAGCTATGTTAATTATAAATTAAATTTCGAATCAAATTTCAATCATCAAACATAGTCCAAAGAAGAAGAAATCAACAATAAAAATATTATAGATTAGGACAAGCATACAAATAGGTACAGGGTAAAAATATTATTTTAGTTCTTATACCTGGTGGGGTCGACTTGCGGCCAAATCCTACCAGGAGTTTATGGACATTTGATTTGCATTTATTCCATGAAAAGTGATTAGATATAGCTCCGTATGATTCGAAAATAGGCAAACATATTTAGCGTAACAAGGTAGGCATAGGCAACCATAATAGACAAACTTGCCCATCTAAGGAAATCATTTTTTTATTAAAAACCCTTACTTGAGGAACATTTAATCTAACGAACAAATACCATTTGTAAACCGCGTGGAGATTTAGGTAGACTACATTCAGGCATAGGCAACAATAATAGACAAACATGCCCATCTAAGGAAATTATTTTTTTATTAAAAACCATCAATTGAGGAACATTTAATCTAACGAACAAATAATACCATTTGCAAACCGCGTGGAGAATTAGGTAGACTTCATTCAGCTATGTTAATTTTAAATTCAATTTTTCGAATCAAATTTCCCTCATCAAACATATTCCAAAGAAGAAGAAATCAACAGAGAGTTAGTTTAGAAGAAATCAACAGAGAGTTAGTTTAGAAGAAATCAACAGAGAGAAGTTTTTAGATGTATCTTTCAGTGATCGCCTTCCTTTCTCTCTTTCGATTCTGCTGCTTTATGATTCTTGGAAATTTATTCTAAAAATAACAAAAGGAAACAAATCAAAGCTACATGCTTTATTTCTGCAAGCCTCCTTGCCACATTAAAATCTAAACATCGACAAAAAAATCTATGGCATCAGTTATGATCCTTTTATTAATCAATTACAATTACACGAATGATGATGTGAATTTAGAGCGCTAGATGGTTAATCGAGTCTTTTACTAGCTAAAAATAAATAAATAGGAATAACGTTAATGTGTGTAGGCTCACGAGTATTAACTCAGGAGGAAGAGTACTTTTTATTATCATGTGTCTGACTCGGGCAACTAAGTTCTCGGGGAATCTTTTTAACAGGAGTAAAAGTAGGTAATATCACGCGTGTGTGATTTGGCAAAAGGAAGTTCTCGGGTGGAGTTTTTAGCATAGCTTGATTCAGGTGTGAAGCCACTTTTTTACCCCGTATCTAACTAAATAAGTATGAAATAACTTCATTTTGTAATGGGGTAACCATGGGTGACAAGACGGGCAAACTGCCACAGGCAGAAGAGCCATGACTATAGCAAAGGCCTGACATTCATTATTACAACATAAAGTAAAATTTATTAATACTGTAAATAAATTTGTTACTAAAGTGATACATTAAACAAAATGTGTATCAAGATTTTGAACGTATTCCTTTGTATGAAAAATATACCGCATTTTGTAGTAATAGTAATCGAAACAGTTACGCACGGCTAATCCGGATACTAGCGACTTAAAATAAAAATTGGGAATTCACGCGGCAGTCCGTTTGCCACTGGGACATTTTCAAAATCACTTGTTAAGAAATTTCGCTGATCCTTGAATAGATACTTACAAAATTAAAAGTGGGAATTCTTGCTGGCAGACTTCCAAACAGCGGGGAAGACCCTTGTTTCGCGGATTCTCCATGCGTTGCTATTATCTTATTGTCTCGGATCCGCGATCAGCCATGAAGTTAAGTGATTAATTGTGGAAATTAGATAATATCACGTCTAATGTAATAGAAAGTATCTTAGTGAAAGTGATAAATGAAAACTAAAAATGGAGTCTGAAGGGGAAAAAAGGACGGCGGAATGAAGAAATTAGCCGAACCGACAGGGATAGCTTTGCAGACCTCCCAGCCACACCGATCCGGCCCACAGCCCTGCACTAGAAATGCACATAATCAAAATCAAAAAGAAGTGACTGAAATTGACCCGAAAAAAAATGACATCTTCGCCATACATTACTGATAAGAGTCATTTTAAAGTACTAAATTATCAAATGATCCAAAATGGACATTGCAAACCTAAAAGGCACCTTTAGGTAGTACTTTATTAAAACGATAAAACAATTATGATAATTTGCATTGACGGACCCCCATTCAAAAAAATTGCCACGGGTTTATATCTTATAATTATACTGCTGTGGCTAACTGCATTCTTTAAAATTTTAATAATGCATAAAATGCACATGAATATTTTAAAAACTTTATTAATTTAATAAATAAATTAATGAACCAACTGTATAAAATAATTGGATCCAATTATGTTAGAGCCTAATGCATTGTGCTGTATTTATATGCAATTCAGAAATATATATGTCACCAATAAATCGAACTACCGACTACAATAAATCGAAATAATAATAATAATACTACAAACTACAATAAATCGAACACGTAAGGACTTAAAAGTGCTAATTCGTCATTTTTAATTCCTTTATTACAAAAAAAAGGAAAAAAGAAATGTACTCATCTATTCTTTAAATTTTAGATACATAGTGTCTGCCGCTAATTTTGGATCAGTTTCCATCATCTGCTTCCATTAGTCAGAGTTCATCACCTGCCAAGAATGCTTCAAGATGAAGTCCTGCGCAAGGCGTGTTGGAGGGCCGCGCAGGCATTACTCGGTCTTAGAAAAAAATTACTTCTCTAAAAAAACATTACTTCTCTAAAGCTGATGAGCGTAATAAATTAAAAAATTTTATATTTAAAAAAACAATTTTAAAGGCAAAAACGCGGGTTAGAACCTCCGCACTGTTAGAAGAGCTTGAGCTAGAATCAGGCGCCTTAGACCTCTCGGCCATCCTGCCTTCGGAAAGCCCTTAATGCAGGGCTTATTTGTAATATTCAGCTCCAGTCGGAAACTTCCTCAACGTAGCTATAGATGAATATTACTGTTAAGAAAAAATAAATTTTGAATGATTGGTTAGAGTTTGCATGGTCAATTTTTCGAAATTCTGACATGATTTTTAAAAAAACTTTACTTCTCTAAAGCTGATGAGCGTAATAAATTAAAAAATTTTCTATTTAAAAAAACGAATTTTAAAGGAAAAACGTGGGTTAGAACCTCCGCACTGTTAGAAGAGCTTGAGCTGGAATCAGGCGCCTTAGACCTCTCGGCCATCCTGCCTTCGGAAAGCCCTTAATGCAGTGCTTATTTGTAGTATTCAGCTCCAGTCGGAAACTTCCTCAACGTAGCTATAGATGAATATTACTGTTAAGAAAAAATAAATTTTGAATGATTGGTTAGAGTTTTTACGATCAATTTTTCGTAATTCTGACATGATTTTAAAAAAAAAATTACTTCTCTAAAGATGAACAGCGCAATAATTTTTTTTTATTTAAAAAAACGAAATTTTAAAGGTAAAAGCGTGGGTTCGAACCACTGCAATGTTAGGAGCACTTAAGCTAGAATAAGGCGACTTAGACAACTTGGTCATCCTGACATCTCAACGTCCTTATTGCAGGGCTTGTTTATAGTATTTAGCTCCAGTCAGAAGCTACCTAAACGTAGCTATAGATGAATATTACTGTTAAGAAAAATAAATTTTGAATGATTGTTTAGAGTTTGTATGGTCAATTTTTCGAAATTCTGACATAATTTAAAAAAAAAAACTTACTCTAAAGATGATGAGCGTAATAAAATAAAATTTTTTTATATTTAAAAAACCAAATTTTAAAGGCAAAAGCGTGGGTTAGAACCTCCACACTGTTAGAAGAGCTTGAGCTAGAATCAGGTGCCTTAGACCTTGGCCATCCTGAGTTCGCAACACCCTTAATGCAGGGCTTATTTATAGTATTCAGCTCCAGTCGGAAACTATCTCAAAGTAGCTATGGATGAATATTACTGTTAAGGAAAAATAAATTTTGAATGATTGGTTAGAGTTTTTACCGTCAATTTTTCGTAATTCTGACATGATTTTAAAAATCATTACTTCTCTAAAGATGAAGAGCGCAATAAAATAAAAAAAATTTTATATTTAAAAAAACAAATTTTAAAAGCAAAAGCGGGGGTTAGAACCTCTGCTCTGTTAGGAGAACTTGACCTAGAGTTAGGCGCCTTAGACATCTCGGCCATCCTGACTTCGCAAAGCCCTTAATGCAGCACTTATTTATAGTATTCAGCTCCAGTTGGAAACTACCTCAACGTAGCTATAGATGAATATTACTGTTAAGAAAAATAAATTTTGAATGATTGGTTAGAGTTAGAGAGTTGTTAAGAGAGCTTGAACTGGAATGAAGCGCCGTAGACTTCTCGGCCATCCTGACTTCGCCACTCCCTTAATGCAGGGTTTATTTATAGTATTCCGCTCCAGTCGGAAACTACCTCAACGTAGCTATAGATGAATATTACTATTAAGACAAAATAAATTTTGAATGATTGGTTAGAGATTGCATGGTCAATTTTTTGAAATTCTGACATGATTTTTAAAAAAAACATTACTTCTCTAAAGATGAAGAGCGAATAAAAAAAAAAAAAAAAATTTATATTTAAAAAAAAAACAAATTTTAAAAGCAAAAGCTGCGTTTCGAACCACTGCACTGTTAGGAGAACTTAAATTAGAATTAGGCGCCTTAGACCTCTCGGCCATCTGACTTCGCAACAACCTTAATGCAGGGCTTATTTATAGTATTCAGCTCCAGTCGGAAACTACCTCAACGTAGCTATAGATGAATATTACTGTTAAGAAAAATAAATTTTGAATGATTGGTTAGAGTTTTTACGATGAATTTTTCGTAATTCTAACATGATTTTAAAAAAAAAACATTACTTCTCTAAAGATGAAGAGCGCAATAAAATTTTTTTTTTTTTTTTTTTATATTTAAAAAAAAAAACAAAATTTTAAAGGCAAAAGCGTGGGTTAGAACCTCCCCACTGTTAAGAGAGCTTGAGCTAGAAAGAGGCGCCTTAGACCTCTCGGCCATCCTGACTTCGCAACGCCCTTAATGCAGGGCTTATTTATAGTATTCAGCTCCAGTCGGAAACTACCTCAACGTAGCTATAGATGAATATTACTGTTAAGAAAAAATAAATTTTGAATTATTGGTTAGAGTTTGTATGGTCAATTTTTCGAAATTCTGACATGATTTTAAAAAAAACATTACTTCTCTAAAGATCAAGAGCGCAATAAAAAAAAAAAAAAATTTTTATATTTAAAAAAAAAAATTTTAATGCCAAAGCATAGCGTAGGTTCGAACCACTGCACTGTTAGGAGAACTTAAGCTAGAATGAAGGCGCCTTAGACCACTTGGTCATCCTGACATCTCAACGTCCTTATTGCAGGGCTTGTTTATAGTATTTAGCTCCAGTCGGAAGCTACCTCGATGTAGCTATAGATGAATATTTCTGTTAAGAAAAATAAATTTTGAATGATTGTTTAGAGTTTGCGTGGTCAATTTTTCGAAATTCTGACATGATTTAAAAAAAACATTACTTCTCTAAAGCCGAAGAGCGTAATAAAATAGAATTATTTTTTAATTAAAAAAAACCAAATTTAAAGGCAAAAGCGTGGGTTCGAACCTTCACACTGTTAGGAAACCCCCTCTCCTTAAAATCTCCTTATTTTCTTAACGTAATTTTCAATTTGAGAAAGTAATTTTTTAGTAAGCGAACAAGGATTTTCTCTTTTAAATTTTAATTTTAAAAACAAAATTTTCATTGTTTAAAAGGCATTACAAGTTTGAAGTTAAAATGTTTGAAAATCAAGCCTAAACTTGTATGGTAAATAAAACTCAGGATTTTCAATTGGTTTTCTATGCTTCTATCCTTTCTGGCTTGCTTGTTACGAATTTTTTAATTTTTTATTTTGATATTAGTTTCGAAGAAGATAATATTTCTTGATCATTCTTATAAATGAAAAGCAGAATCTTTTAGGGTGTTTGCTGTGATCCTTTGATCAGGACAATCTCTTGATAATGAGTTCTTCATCTGTATATTAATTAATTTATCTATCGTTACGATTTTCTTTACGTAATGTTCAATTTCAGAAAGTAATATTTTTAGTAAGCAAACAATGCTTTTCTGTTTTAAATTTTAATTTTAAAAACAAAATTTTCATTGTTTAAAAGTTTAAAAAAATATTTAGAATTTACGTCATGCATTAATTCATATTATTTTAAATATACATACTTCTTTAAACCCCTTAACTCCGAGGAATGTATCCATCTGACCAGCTGCTGACATCGCCGAAGTGTCCTAGCCTTGACGAAACCAGAAACAGATACAAAAATATTAAACAACGTCAACTATTTTTCAAATATCAATATGGAAATAATTTTTTAAATAATCTTTTACTGACCCTTAAATATTTTCTGGATTTTTTTTTCCTTTTACACTTCTTAATTTTCAAACTTCATCGGTGATTGTGGATTATGTTTACAGAATATTCATATTTCATATCCTTTTAGTGTTACGATTTTGTGTCCAAGACTGGTAAGCATTAGACTGAGCACTTAACCGAGCAGTTTTAATATTTTTGGGGCTTTTGATTGCTCGTTAATGTGTCGTCAAATAGTCTGTTTCAATTTCTTTAGTGTATTTCGGAATTTACCGCGTATAAAACTTATGACCAACTTTTTACACGAATTTCATATAGTAGTTTAAAGCAATTAAACTAATTCATTCATTTTTATGAAGTTCATTTATTAATTTTTCCATTCATTTATTTATGTACGTAAGATAGAGCAGACTGGAGTATTTGGTTTTCGAGATGAGGGTGATTGGTGCAAAGAGTGGCAAGCCAAGCCATACCCATGTTTTATGTTTTGATACAGAATAAGTATGCAGGCATAAAAAAAAAATATCTGCGTCGATCAGGAGTGGTCAAATTACGACCTTTCAGAGGTAAATGAAGGGTTTATCCTAAATGGAACAATTTGGTGGTACAATTTGGATGCTGTGGGGGATTAATCACAGTTATAGCCTTTACCACCAATGTGGTGAACATCCTGTCAAATTATGAGCAATAAGTTTTCTAGGTGAGAGTGTTCAGAACAAAGTTTGGCAAGCTTAGCAGTAAGCAACTCTCATGCTCTGGTTCGGGATGAGTATAAGTACGCAGGCAAGAAAATCTCTGTGCTTCCGTCTCAAGGAAGAAAGTTACGAACTCCCAGTTGCAAATGAGAGGTTTATCCTAAATTGCGATGGCACAATTTGGGTGCAAAAGGGGATGGCCCTTCATGGTTACAGTCGTTTGTCCCCGTAGTGGTGAACATCCTTTGAAATTACAAGCGGTTGAATTAAATTACAAGAAAATTAATTAAATTACATAAATTACAAGAGATAACAAATTATAATAGGTTTTCTAGAGAAAAATGATAAGAACAAAGTTTGACAAGCCAAGCCGAACCCAAATCTCATGTTCTGATACGGAATAAATAAGATAAGTATGCAGGCGAAAAAAATCTCTGCTACAGTCTCGAGGAAGAAAGTTACAAACTCTGATGTAAATGAGGGACTTATCCTAAATTGCGATAGTACATTTTGGATACAGTAGGGATGAACCTCATGGTTACAGCATTTTGCCCCCATAGTGGTGAACTTTCACTATGGAGGCGATATAGTGGTAATCCGTTCGCACTAGGGTGCTGGTGCAAAATCTTTCAAGCCAAGCCTTTCCTGTCAAATTACAAGCAATAGGTTTTGTACTGTACCCTAATCTCATGTTCCTGATTCGGGATGAGTATAATAAGTATGCAGGCAAGAGTCTCTGTGTCGGTCTCGAGGAGTAAAGTTATGGACTTCCAGAGGCAAATAAGGGGTTTATTCTACATTGCGATTGTACAATTTAGGTGCAGTGTTAATGGCTAC